CTCTTTTTTTTTTTTTTTAACAGATTAGAGATTTATGTATATTATTTATGTTTTATTTTAAATTATGACCGAAAAATAAAAAAAAGTATTTATTTTATTTGTATTTTTTACAGATTTATTTATTTAGCCATATATGGCCATACAATTTAAAAAGCGTATTTAAAAAATATATATATATTTTTTTCAGATTTATTTTATTTATTTGAATTTATGGTCATAATGATATATTATATTGTGTGTTTTTAACAGATTTATTTTATTTTTACTGCCATAATTTGTTAAATTTTTTATTTAACCCTTTAACTGTCACCCTGTCTCTGTGGGATGCCTAAGTTTACTTCACTATATTACAATTAAATCCTAATCTAATCATGACAAACTATATATCGTTGGAAAGGTCTAAGACTCCAACATATTTTTTTACAAAAACATTGGTAAAATATCTATGTAGGAAAAGTAATAGATTAATTTATGACAAGAGTGCACCTCAAAAATCTACATAACAGGAGTTCTGACCTTCGTCAAAAAAAGTCTTCGTTGTTGTCTTTTTCTCGATCACACTTTAGAAATAATCAGAAATGATATATTAATTAAAAACTTTAAATCTCAAAATTCATCCTTTGAAACCCATTTTAAAATCAAACATTGCATTACCATGAAAATGGTACATCAATATGTTACAAATTGTTTTCGTTCATGAATTATAAAAATTTAAGTTTGGATCGTGCACTTTCACGTCTATGTTCAAAAATGTAAGTGACAGTTAAAGGGTTGTGTCTATTTTAATTGTTTTATTTGTGGTTTTAACAGATGCATATTATCATAAAGTCACACCAATTATAGTTATAAAAATAAAAAAAAACCTTGTGTGTTTGCTGTGGTCAGGTGCCGTCGGGTCTGTTCATCCCCAGTATGGCCATCGGGGCGATCGCGGGGCGTATCGTGGGAATCGCTGTGGAGCAGCTGGCGTATTATCATCACGACTGGTTCCTGTTCAGAGAGTGGTGTGAGGTGGGCGCCGACTGCATCACGCCGGGACTCTATGCCATGGTGGGCGCCGCCGCCTGTCTGGGTGCGTACGCATGCATGCTTTCAGCTTTCTCTGCGGACTAGGGATGGGCGATATGGGCTTTAAAATATATCACGATAATTTCCGGTATTTGTTGCGAGAACAATATCAATGCCGATGATTCAGGGAATCTCATGCAATCCACTAAGAGACAAAAAAAAATCCTGTTCCTTTAGAGAAAAGTATTATCTTTCATAATCACCTTTATGTGTGTATATATAGCGCTTATAACAATACAGATTGTGTCAAAGCAGCTTTACAGTATCAAATAGGAAAATAGTGTGTCAATAATGCAAAAGGACAATAGTAAACACTCAGTTTGCAGTTAAAGGCAGTTCATCATTGAATTCAGTTATTTCTTCATCCAGCTCAGTTCAGTTTAAATATTATCTGTGCAATCAAGTCGACGATATCGCTGGATATTAAGTGTCCCCAACTAAGCAAGCCAGAGGAACCAAAACTCCATCGGTGACAGAATGAGCATTACTGAGTGCACATGTAATGTAAAGACTGTTTTCATACTGGAAGCCAGAGGGCGCCCTTGAGCAGAAACTCCACTTATGCCTGGCAGAAGTAATTGCACTGACAAAATGATGCTCCAGGAAATCCCTAATATGGAAGAAGGTATCCAGTTATCACAGTTAAAATTTCTCTATCTGCGTTTTATTCAAGGTGGCGTGACGCGCATGACGGTGTCTCTGGTGGTCATCGTGTTCGAGCTGACCGGCGGGCTGGAGTACATCGTTCCTCTCATGGCGGCGGTGATGACCAGCAAATGGGTCGGCGACGCTTTCGGGAGGGAGGGGATCTACGAAGCCCACATCCGTCTGAACGGATACCCCTTCCTGGATGCCAAGGAAGAGTTCACGCACACGACGCTGGCGCGGGAAGTGATGCGTCCGCGGCGTAACAACCCGCCGCTGGCTGTGCTGACGCAGGACGACATGACGCTCGCCGAGCTGCAGAACATCATCTCCCAAACCAGCTGCAACGGCTTCCCCGTCATCGTCTCCAAAGAGTCGCAGAGACTGGTGGGCTTCGCGCTGCGCAGGGATATAACCATCGCTATAGGTGAGAGAACTTCGTTTCCGTAGGCTTGATTCTCACGGCTCTTTTCTGACTACATGGAAAATTATGTTGAAGTAAATGAAGGCTGTTTTAAGAACAAATTTTCAGTATTTTCTGCCAAATTGCAGTAACACAAAAATATCATGATCATTGTGAAAAGAAGTATTATAAAAGTGCTGTAATTTTATCTGTTGAAGTTGGCATGAATTTAATTTTCTAAATGCATGTTAAGTCTCTTCTGCTCACCAAGGCTGCATTTATTTGATTAAAAATCTAGATAAAATACAGTAATGCACAGACACACACACACACACACACACTCACACACACTCACACACCTGCTGATGAGCTTCAGTCGAGGCGTCACGCGTCTGAGGATTCACATGCCTCTCAGCTGCTAGTCTCGTGCTAAACCTCTGACGACACACACATTCTCTCTCACACACAGGCACTCACACACAGGCACTCGCACACACACACACACTCTCTCTCTCACACACTCACACACACACTCTCTCTCACACACACACACATTTGTTTTTGTGAATTGTGAGGCCATTCCATAGGTGTAGTGGTTTCTATACTGTACAAACTGTACTTGCTATTGCCCTACACCAACCCTACACCTTACCCTACCCCTTACAGGAAACTGCATTTTTTACTTTCTCAAAAAAACTCGCTCTGTATGATAAACATAAAACATAAGTGTTTTTAAAAATGGGGTCATGGGGTAATGTCCTCATAAGTCACCTTCCCTTACAGGAAACTGCATTTTTTACTTTCTCAAAAAAACTCGCTCTGTATGATTTATAAGTGTTTTAAAAAATGGGGTCATGGGGTAATGTCCTCATAAGTCACCTTTTCCTTATAATACCTATGTCATACCCATGTCATTATACAAATTTGTGTCCTCATATGTCACAAAAACGTGCACAAACTCTCTCACAAACTCTCTCTCACACACACACACACACTCTCTCTCTCTCTCTCTCTCTCTCTCTCTCTCTCACACACACACTCACACTCACACACAGCCTTCACCGGACCCAATTGAGCCGACGATACTGAACAATCACAGTGAGTTTACTCGGGATGCAGAAACGTTTAAAGTTTTTATTTGTACATTTAAGTTAACTAAAAGCGTGCCTTTAAATTAGATTCACAATCTCACATTGTCTTGCAACTTGTAAGTATAAACAATTACAGTTAAGTTAATCTTCAGTTAAAATTTTTGAATAATTACTTTTTTCCTAAATAAGTCTCTTAGGTTCACCAAGATTAGAGTAATAAATGGCTTCTGAAAAATTCAGCTTTGCATCACAGGAATAAATAACATTTTAATATATATATATTCAAATATAAAACAGTTATTTTAAATTGCATTAAGATTTCACAGTATTACTGCTTTTACTGTATTTTTGATCAAACAAAAAACAGCCTTAGTAAACAAAAGAGACTTCTTTCAAAAACAATATATATTTATTAACAAAAATATATTTTGGACCGTATCGTATTTTACGTGAAGCATCAAATCTATGATTACGCAATTTTTGCCATCATTCAAAAATGGCCAAAGTTTGAATTTTTTTTTTATTATAATTTTATTTTTTATTTTTTTACAAAAAGCTAAATATAGTATATTTATGCATTTACTAGATGCTTTTTTTTTTATCCAAAGCAACTTATTTAATCAGAAGTTCAATTTTAGTTAGATGTAGTTTAATGTAGATACATTTTGTTATTACTGTTTTATTGATTTAGCCCAGCTAATTAAAGGCTTTTTATTTTTACTACACGAGTGCCTTGGAGTATTTCATCTTCTTTATTACAATTTAATGTTGTAGTTTTGTCCTTTTGCTTTAAACAGGGAATTTTAAAGCTCCCTGCCTTGTGTAGCACATTCAAAAACGTGAATAAAAACCAACAGTCTTGGCTTTAATGCATGCTAAAAAAATTCTTCAGACAAGTTATTTGCAATCATTACAGTAAGAAAGAGCAAACGAATGAGGTATAAGCCTGATCAAATTAGCATGATGTGTTTATATACGCCGTGGCTGCAGCTAGAGGGAGTTTTAAAGGAGACAAATAAAGCAGTTACTGTTCACACCAACAACAACCAAAAACCAACACATAGCAGGGAAAATGTCTTCTAGCAAGATATAAAACCGGATCATTCACAAGAACACATAAAAATTATTTATTTTATTTAACTTGATTTAATACAAAATACAATCCGGACAACAACGTACTTTTTTTTTACCGAATCAGAGAGTGGGAAATTTAATTAATACTTAATATAAATCACATTTAAGATATATATAAACACGTAAATTTCAAAAATGCACAATATATAAACACTTTCAGGTCCCAAATGTCAATCTGCTTAATTGCATTTTGTCTCACATTTCTTTTATTATTATTATTATTATATTATTGACAATTATTATACGTTTTATCATTAAAGAAAATGAAGCCTGTTTTAGGAACATTTTTTGCATTTCAACATTATTTTTTATTACAATTACGCCCATTTTCTAGCTAAAATTCTGATTAGTGCAACATGTCTTGCAGTCATTACTGCAATTTAAAAAGTAACATTAATTTTATAAATGCATGTTGTACTAATCGTGAACAATTCATCCGTGCAAACACTGCCATTCAAAAGTCTGTGGTTTGTTTGTGTTTTCTTTTTGAAACTCTCATGTGCTCACCAAGGCTGCATTTATTTGATCAAAAATACATGAAAAAAACATCAAATTTCAAATATTATTACAATTTAAGATAACCGTTTTCTATTTAAGTATATACTTTAAAATGTAATTTATTCCTGTGATTAAAAGCTGAATTTTCAACAGCCATTAATAACTCCAGTTCTTAGAAAATGAAATTTAAAGTTTATTTAACATGCAATTAATGAATTGATCGAATTTATTTAATAATCAACACTTTAATAAAAACAAAGTTGCATATAAGCATTTAAATTCAAATCAACTTTTTAATGATATAATTATTTTTCTAAAAATATGAACATTTAAATGGAAGCTGTAATAAAAACTTTTTACACATTTATTCAAACATACATTTTAATTTAATTAAACTTTGGACTTTGGATTGCAAAAAGAGACAGTGACTGAGCCTAGACCTTATTCTGAGTTACAGATAACGGTATCTTCTCCAGAGAAAAACTAATAATGTGACTGCAGAAGCGATTGAGTCGTTTTTATTCCTGTATGTTAAAGTCACTCTCCAGACTCCGGATTTAATCATAGAATCATTTTTGTTTCTCACACACACACACACACGGTGATGGCTGATATTTACAATTTGATTTCTGTTCAGTTCATTTGTTTAATTTCATCTCAACACCTGATTATTTTCTTGATCTCAGTAAACTTCTGTTCATATTGCTTCTGTTGTCTTGTTACTCTTATGTTGTTTTGATTTCTATTTGTTTGTACTTGAGTTGTCGGTGTAATTTTTGTTGCTGAGTGATGGTCGTCACGGTGTGTGTTGCAGGATTGTATTGGGCATCATCACAAAGAAGAATATTTTAGAACATCTGGAAGAGCTCAAGCAGCACGTGGAGCCCTTGGTGATTAGCCCCTCCCACTCTGCCTGTTAGACTCCGCCTCTTAGGAGGGACGCATGAAATTGAGTGAGAGAAAGAAAAAAAAAAGAGTTCTGGATGATGGTTGCCCTAAAAGACCAAAGTTAGAGATCAATAAAATATACATGTTGTAGCATTTAAGTGAATTGGATAAATTTATTCTCATTTCTATTCACTGATGTCTGCAAGAGTTTTAATACCACCTAACTCTGAAATTGATCTTTTGAAATTAAATGCAAAAATGTATTGTGTGACGCTTATACAGCAGTTCTTTCGAGGTGGTGGCACTGTCCTGTATGTGGGGTCCAAACACTAAATAACGTGCACCAATTTGTGGCCAGTAACGCGTATTAAAGGAATATTTCACCCAAGAATGAAAATTTGATGAAAATGTATTCACCCTCAGGCCATCCAAGATGTTTGTTTCATCAGAACAGATTTGGAGAAATGTAGCATTGCAGTGAATGGGTGCCGTCAGAATGAGAGTCCAAACAGCTGATAAAAACATCACAATAATCCACACCACTCCAGTCCACCAGTTAATGTCTTATGAAGCAAAAGGATACGTGTTTGTAGGAAACAAATCCATTATTAAGGTGTTTTAGCTTCAAACCCTTGCTTCTGGCCAAAATACGTGTCCGTAATCCATAATATTGTTTCTCCAGTGAAAAAGTCCATCCCTGTTGTCCTCTCGCATCAAAATCCACCAACATATGTGAGCCTGGAGCACAAAAGCAGTGTTGAGTCGCTGGGGTATATTTGTAGCAATAGCTAACAATACATTGTATGGGTCAAAATTATAGACTTTTCATTTATGCCAAAAATCATTAGGATATTAAGAACAGATCATGTTTCATGAAGATATTTTGTAAGTTTCCTACCGTAAATATATAAAAACTTCATTTTTGATTAGTAATATGCATTGATAAGAACTTAATTTGGACAACTTTAAAGGCGATTTTCTCAATATTTAGATTTTTTTGCACGCTCAGATTCCAGATTTTCAAATAGTTGTATCTCAGCCAAATATTGTCCTGTCCTAACAAACCATACATCAATGGAAAGCTTATTTATTATTCACAAAATTGACCCTTATGACTGGTTTTGTGCTCCAGGGTCACATATTAGTTTAGAACAGTTTTGGACTGTGTTTGTTTGTAAATGATGCTTGATCTGTGCATATTTCTCTCCTGATTCAGACGAGACAACTTTTCTTTTTACTGGAGAAAGTGTTACTATGGATTATGGACTTGCGGATTTTAGCTGGAAGCAATGGTTTAATTAAAATTCAGCATGTTGGATTTGTTTCTTACAAACACATAGCTTTTCACTTCACAAGATGTTAATTATTGAACTGGAGTGGTGTGGGTTACTTGTGGATCATTGTATTGTTTTTATCAGCTGTTTGGACTCTCATTCTGACGGCACCCATTCACTGCAGAGCATCCATTGGGGAGCAAGTGACATAATGCTAAATTTCCCCATATCCGTTTTGATGAAGAAACAAACTCATCTACATCTACAGCAAATTTTCAGTTTTTGGGTGAACTGTTCCTTTAAGAAAGTTCATTTTGATGTCATCAGTTATAAACAACACTGACATTAGCGAAGCCAGCATGACACTATATAGTATATAAAGTTACAAGCATTTTGGACCCTGCTTCCCGGACTTTATTCCTCTGCAGACATCATGTTTCTTGTAAGATTTGCTTTCACTCAGATTGTTGAGGGTAGTCTAGTCTGTCACATTAGCCGCGGTGTCTTTGAAATGCACCTTTATGTAGCCCCTCCCTTTCAGTTCTGCATCGTGCACGTGTACTCACAAAGCACATCTAATACACATGCCGTGATGTCCTTCATCTGAATTTGATTTCTTTGTTTGTTTTCCTTTTGTTTATTGCTAAATTCCTCTCGGGGGCGCCTGGTCTGCGTCCGCTGGGCTACAGATCGATGACATCTGACCCCTCGCGCAGCTCTGCCCTTAAACGATTGGCGAGTAACTGTCATGTGTAGCGGACTGTTTTCTCATTCACCAACATATCTATTCATCTCTAGTCATAGTAGCTGTTACTAGGATGCTAGACGATTTGGTGTGACTACAATCCTAGCACTTGTAGTTTGTAGTCAGCAGTTCCTTAAGTCCCACACCTTGTCCTCTTTCAGTTGTCTGACGTTCAACCTGTTCACTTCCTTCCTGTCGCAAACATCTTGCAGGCATTTCACGAACATTTCACAAAGGTTTGACAATCATTTCACGAGCGTTTCATGCCTCTGATTTGGATGGACTCTCGCAATCCCAGCTCTCGTTAAAATTGTCACACCTTTTTTTTTTCTGTGATACAAACTGTCATCAAGCTTAAATCAAAAGCAAAATCAAGAGCATCTTTAAAGTTAACTTGCACTTTAATTCAAAATTTGATCAAGAGAAATCAGTGTTTGGGTAGAATACTGTATCTAGAAAAAAGTGTTTGGGGTGAAGCGTTACATAATCACATTGTTTTAGAAGTCACGTAAAGTACTGCATTACTTTTTTGAACACACTCTATAATGCTATAAAAAAAGATACTTTTTTACACTTATACACAAATAAATAACATAAGAACAAAGTAAAAGTAACAATGTGGTGTAATCAATCAAATTTAAGAATATTCTAACGCTGCTATAATACAGTAATGCCGGTACATTACACATAACACTTGTCTGATAAACGCCTATATTTTAAAATGTTGTGAAAGGAAATTAGTTTCTGGGCACAGACACTATCCATTTAGAAAAACGGGTAAAGTGTTACAAACATAATCGCATTAATTTAGAAGCAATGCCACTAGTTACGCAAAGTATTGCATTAGCTCGTGAATTATAGTGTGAATTCAAAATAGTACTTTTATACACTTAACTAATTAACATGCAAAACTAGGAGAAAGTTACGATGTTGCTTTTTTAAAATAAAGTAACACCTACTGTAATGCACATAATGCAATTGTTGTAGAAGTAGCCTGCTGCTGGTTACGAACATGTTTACATTACTATTTTGAATTCTCACACAAATGCACAAGTTGCTTCTATACATGCACAAATAATTTACAGTGTGGAGTAACTTCTTGTAACTAATTTCATTTTTTCTGCCATAATGTAGCACCTACTGTTTGGCAGTATTGTCCGTACATTGCACATGACATTTTGTTGAACACCTAGCTATATTTTGAAAGTTTATCGAGAAAAATTAGCATTTGGGTACAGATACCTTATTCACTTCGAAAAATACTGTTACAGGTAAAACGTTACAAGTAACAAGTTACATAATCACACTGTAATTCGGGTAACATGCTGCTAGTTACTCAAATTATTGCATTGATTATTTAATTAACACTTTAATGGCCAAGTTACTTTTGTACAAGTAATTAACGCACAAAAGTAGGGGAAAATTAAGACTGTGGTTTAATGATTTTTTTTTTTAAGTAATGCTTTTGTAGGAGTAGTGTAACAACTACTGTAATGCAGGGACATTGCAAGACACTTTGCATTTGCATGTCTTTGCTGCAAATGAGTGATCGGACACTTTTTTTTTTTTAAATGGCACTATTTTTGGGAGTGGAGTAATATAACGCTCATTGCACTTTTTTTAAAGAAGTTATGCACTAGCACTTTTTCAAGTAACGTTCCCCAACACTGTAAACAAACGAAATGCACAACTTCTATACAGTACATCCTTTGAAATATGCTCTTGAATTTGTGTTGGAAAAATAATTCACTTTCTCGTTCTCCAAGGCCAGAGTGTGGATGAGATGGAGGCGTTCACTCACTCGTTCACTTCTGTTTCGCAAAACACTTGCTTCTCACTGTGTAGGTGCTGCCGGCTCTTAGAAATAACGTAGTGTTTCCTGCCCTGAGTAACACAGCATAATCTCCCACACTCTCTGCCCTCCTTCAAACCAGAGACTGTCAGCTGTCCGTTGCCAAGACTGAAGTATGGAGTCATCAAAATTGGAGCAAAGATTTGATTCCGAGTCAAAACGAGAATAGAGTAGGGATATGCCGGTATCAAATTTTCATGTTGCGATTAATTGCTAATGCTTTTATCACGGTATACGGTATTATCACGGTATTGCAAGTTAGTCAGAAACAGAAAGTAGTGCAGCTGCTTTGTTTACAGGGTTTCTGGAGTAACGGCTGCATTTAAATGAAGAATTATTATTATTATTATTATTTCTGTAGTTTAGCGCCATCTGTTGTCAGAGAGTGAAAGTGCGCTTTCATCCAGAGCCTCTCTCGCATGTCCGCCGTGCGCTTCTCGTCCGCGCTTGTTTACATCAGAGTGCGCACGCGTCTTTCACGCAGCATACAGCGTGTTGTGCATTTTGACCAGTTGATGGGAAAAGTATTCTTAAAATGCATTAAAAATTCTGAATAATAAGTGCCCACGATAACAATATCGTGTATATTCATTACCGTGATATATCGCATTACCGAATACCGGCACAAGTCTAGAATAGAGTTATACAAAATGCATTTAGTTGGGACTTCCTTGCAAAACTTGGCAACAGAAGATGTCAGTGCTCTGCAAACATGCCAAAAATGCACTAGTAAATGTCTCTACCTCTTTCTGTCTCTCTTTTTATAGGCGCCTCCTTGGTATTATTACAAAAAAAGATATCCTCCGTCATATGGCCCAGATGGCAAACCAAGACCCCGAGTCCATAATGTTCAACTAGCATCCCCCTCTTCCCGGTACGAGGAAGATGAGAGTGAAGAGGAGGTCCGTTTACTGGACAACTCATCCCTCTGACCACACGCCCCTACGGTACCCTGAACCACCCAAGTATATGAAAAACACTACGCCAGATGGGACCCCATCCTCTGGATACTTGCACAAGACTTCAAAACGAGTCTTTCGAGGCAGAGCCTGGCTGCTTGAAAAACTTTTGGGAGAAACTTGAGTCTTGGACGCCCCAAGTGGAGGAACTTTCTCCAAATGCTAGCACGCTAAACTAACTCACACACGCGCATGCAAAAACACCCAAGACACCTCACGGGACCTGCTCGATTGACCTCTTAGCCTTCTGCCTGAGAAAATGCGTCCTAAAGAGGTGAAAGGTCAAGATGAACCACTGGAAACAAGGCGAGACTTCCGTGACCCTCACTGTCCCACCACATCCCGAAATGGACTCTATAGCTTTGTTTACTTGTAGTGTGTGTGAGAGATACAAGAAGGACGGTGAACGAGATCGTGTTTGAACACGCCCCAACATTCCAGTCGGGATCTGATGCTGTGAAGCCGAAGAAACATCGAAAAGTGTCCCGTACATAATGGATACGTTGCCCGTGCAAGTGATTTTTGCGAGCGGTCCGTGAAGATCAAGTATTCAGCATTGCGAAAAGATCAAGCATACAAGCGTGGGTTTTGTGCTACCTAGTGAAAGGATGTTGGGAGGAGAACAGGGTGTACATCGTCTTAATTAATCATCTTTAATCTCAGCACTACGACGGCCAGTCTAAACCGCAGTGGGATTGTCGTAACGAGCCAATCGAGTCTGTCTGGCAGGTCTCTGAGTGCCCACACTTTATGAAGTTTTGTGCTTTTCGTTACTGTGGATGAAAAACCAAGACGCTTTTCTTTTACAGCTGCTATCTTGGCTATTATATTTAAATGTACTAAACAACTCCTAATAGTTTAAAAATCAAAAAATGTGACTTGACCAACTTTTTTAACTTTGCAAACAAGCATTAATGTTCAAACTGGTGAATGTTGGCTCCAGTGCAGTTTAAATTTGCCATTCTCTTGTATGCGCATATTTCATCTCACGTGATATAACAGTGTCTACTGCTGTTCATCTTCGTCTGAATAATCAAATATTTGATGCCCTGAAATCTTACATTAATCATCTGCATCTGACGGCTATCTAAGGACAGACTCTAAAGGATAAATCCCACGAAGAAATGCCTAGGTCATATTTCATCCCAAAATAAAATGTATTTTGTGTAATGAAAATGAAGCCCGTTTTGAACCCTAACCCATGTGTGAAAAACTTGTTGCATCTTTCCCAATAAGACTCATGGCTGTATTAGATCAAAAGGGAGCTTCTACTATATACTGAGCAAAGGGTCTGAATACTTAGGACCATGTGATATTTCAGTTTTTCTTTTTTAATACATCTGCAAAAATGTCAACAATTCTGTGTTTTTCTGTCAATATGGGGCGCTGTGTGTACATTAATGAGGAAAAAAATTAACTTAAATGATTTTAGCAAATGGCTGCAATATAACAAAGAGTGAAAAATTTAAGGGGGTCTGAATACTTTCCGTACCCACTGTAGATGTGAATAAAACTGGTAAGTTTGTAAGTTCTGCTGAGGTGGAGAAATTATTATAATTGAAATCTAGACTGATGAAGTGCTTAAAAATTGAGCAAACTGTTATAAAAAGCCAAATAGCATGAACAGACTGTTTTCGCCTGTAGTGTCTTGAAATCAAAAGCATAAAAATGCTTATGTTATAGCGATAGATAAACATTACTAGTAGACCTGGTTTAAAAAAAAAATACTACACTACTTCATTTCCTTGTTTGGGGCAACTATATGGTCTCTAACCTGTATAGGTTTTCTGATTGGAAATAAAAAGTATTAAAGACAATACTTAAATGACAGCTAATTTCACACGGTGTAATGTGAGCTGAAAGCCAGATTCCCACAATCTTCTCTAAATGTGTGATTTATGAATTTGTGCAGCAGCGAGAGGTTGTACTACACTGGGAGCAAGCGTATGGTTTCTCCGTGTGGTTGCACAGGTCATTAGCGTCAGCGTCAGACTTTCCTGCCTGAGGACAGACTGTCTCGATTCTCACACACACACATCCATATTTGTATACTGTGAGATGAGCTACCCAAAGGCTCAGAAGGGGGAAGCCTTGTATGAAGAGAGATGAAGAAAATCAGTTTACAACTGGTTTCTCTTTTGCTTGACTGCTGTTTAATTCTATGATCAGCTCATTTTTAGTTCTACTTTCAAAATCAAATTAATATGGATCTCTGATTCTTGTCTTGAGACTAATTTTATGACTTGATGTCAAATTGAATGGTTAATGTTCACCTTTTTTAGCCTTTTAATGGGTTCAATTGTAAGCATTAAATGGTTTATGTATCTTTACTTACATTTGGTGTCTGTTTTCTAAGGAATGCAAATTGCTCGTTTTCATAAGCCAAAAGCCACCACTGTTAAGTGAAAGCTATTAAAGCATATTCACATTTATTTGTAAGCTATAATGTAATTCATAAATCATTTGAAAGATGCTTTACGGTATTTAGTCAAAATTTGAGATTTGAATTGAGTTACACATGTATTTTACAAAACCATACATCTTCCCAGTATTAATTTTAAATGTATCTGTAGTAATCGACTTTTTTCCATTTGGATGTGAAGTTTCAAGCAGTACGCAAGTATCATTTTGTCACCGTCTGGCTGCTCAAAGGGACTTTTCCAGTGTGTATTTGTGGCTGTTCCTGGAGGAAACCTCACATTTAAAGACTTGCATGGGTTTCATGGGTTTTCAGAAGAGCTTTCAGCCTCTTTTCATCTGCAAATGTTTTGCTCTGTGAACATGTAAATGGATCATCACAGTGTTTGTGCAGGTGGAGCTGCAGATGCTCTAGATGGGGGTACTGTGCAAGCTCTGTTTTTTTTTATAGTCCATAAACATCAGAATGTGTTTTAAGGTACAGCAAATGGTTATTTAAAGGGGTCATATGATGCTGCTAAAAAGAACATTATTTGGTGTAATGAAATGTTTGTGGTTTAAGGTTCAAAAAACACATTATTTTCCACATACTGTACATTATTGTTTCTCCTCTATGCCCCGCCTTTCTGAAACGCGTCGATTTTTACAAAGCTCATCGGTCTGAAAAGCGAGGTGTGCTGTGATTGGCCAGCTATCCAGTGCGTTGTGATTGGCTGAATACCTCAAGCGTGTGTCGGAAATGTTACGGCCCTCCCCATACTGTGATGCCGTGTCCGGCCGGAGCGACGAGACAAAAACATTAAAACCCATCATAAACGAGGCATTTGTTGCATCCAGTGGGGACATAATTATGGATTATAATGACTTATACTGTCTTTTTACGCGTTGCGTTGCATCGCGCCGCATAAACATAAAACCATGTCTGCATTTGGGATCGGAGAAATGACAAACAACAAGCTCTACTCTACACTGCTCAAAACTCACGTTTGAATCGTCAGTGGCAAATCCTTTACAATGCCGGCTGTTTTGACTCACAGACTGTAAGTACGTTTTTCATGTTTAGTCTACTCTCCCAGGATCAGGAAACAGTCCTCCATAAAATGCACTGCACACATCTGAATATTTGGGTTGAAGTGTTCTGGAACAGTGTTGTAAATACAACT